AAACGAGCTTGTTCGCTCCTTTGTTTTCTCACAATGCGGTACTTCACAAAGCGAAAGCAATACGGGTGATTGGCACAAGAGATGGATAAAACGCTCTGCAATCGAATCATTTGATGAAATTCAGGAAACAGAAGTGATAGACCGAAGAGTAAGATATCAGACATCAAAAAAGTTATATCAGCAAAGTGGTATTGGATCAGAATATTAAACGAAACCATCATGTACAATATTCAACTGTAACATTAAAAATGTCATTCACTGCGAGTGGTCAATGCGTCAATGCGTGTGATTAGATAAGAATCTACTTAAGAGGATTTCGATCAAGAACTTACTGGTGCAATGGAGTTGGCTGTTTCATCAGAAGGGTCGGCTGAAAGCAGAGCAAACCGAAAGTCGAATTGGATCAAATTACAAAGAAAACGCGAAGCAATGGAACAGTACGGAAGACAATCACAGTATTCTTCCACGGTTCTCAAACGTGCATATCCGACTGCGGTCAATAATCACCACATGCACTGCAACACAAAGTGGCATCACCCATCCCCCCTATCAAAGCCATCGTGGCATTTCGCTAATAAAACAAAGCCTCTGAAGCGTGGTGCTGCTAGCAGCGTTTATCTCATGGTGAGCACAAGTGCTCATCACGAACAAAAATCTTAACCTGTGCGAGTAGACTGTCACGGACGGTCTGCTGACGATCGCTGTCCCATTGTAACACATAGTAGCAGGCCCTTGTGTGAGAGCTAAGTGCGAAGAACACCCTCTCGCCTGAAAACCACTGACCTGGGGTGAATCGTTGGTTGTCCCAATCTTCAAGAAGGGATCACGCAACGACTGCGCAAACCACCGCGTGATTAGTTTAGTTCCGATAATCACAAAAGTGTTGACTTCTGTGATACTTCACCACCTGACATCCTTAAGCGAGATGAATAGTTGCGAACAGCAAACCGGATTTCGACCAGGGCGCGGTTGCATCGACCAAATTTTCACTCTGCGTCAAATCCTCGAATTGCGTCACACACATCGTCGGCCAACAACCGCAGTGTTCCTTGACCTATAGAAGCCTTCAATTCAGTTGATCGCGAAGCTCATCTGGGGTTGCTGCTTCGCAAACGAATGCCGCGGAATTATGTAAACCTATTGCGGTCGTTGTATCTGCATACTTCTGGCAGCGTAAGGGTCTAATGTGGGCTGAGTAAATCGTTCGAAACCAGGAGCGGTGTTCATCAAGGGTGCCCTCTTTCGTCAACCCTGTTTAATATCGTAGTACAAGAAATACTGGAGAACGCACTTAGTGGTCTCCAAAATGTTGGTATTGAATAGGCAGCTGGAGAAAAGTTGTGCCATTTCGAGTACACTGACGACATCGTTTGGAGATATGGAGAATGCGCAAAGCGCTCTTGAGAGACTTTCAAGTTCTGTAACTCCTTTCGGCATGCGCTTTGCATCTTCAAAGTGCCACGTGATGCTACAAGACTGAGCGCCGTCTACGATGGCGCTGATGCTTGATGGTCAAGAATTAGCTATAGTGAAATGTTTCACCTACTCAGATAGCTGCGTGACAAAGGACGGTAATAAAGTTAATGAAGTACCGGCTCGCATTTACAACGCTCGAGCAAATTACGCAGGACTGAAACACCTTTGATGCATATGTTTCGTTGAAACTGAAAGATCAAGTATACTGCGCCAGCATGCGGTCAGTTCTGCTTTATGGTTTTGAGACCTTAATTTTGTTCATGGAAGATATTCATCGTCTAGAATTCTTCGACTGCCGATGTCTACGTAGTTTGGTGCGGGTTGGATGGAGCGAACGTGTAAGCAACTCTGAGATACGGCGTCGCGTAGTTGGTAATGATTCGATGGAGAATCCGTTGTCCCATCGAATTCAGATTAACCAGCTTCGCTGGTTAGGACACGTATTGCGCATGCCCAGCCAGCGTCCACCACACCGCGCTTATTCGCAGCTTCGGTTCCAGGTTGAAAGAAACCATGTGGAGGTTAACAGAGGACGTGGAAACGAGGCATGAAGAAATGCACAGAGCAATTAGGTAGAATAGGTTTCTCCCGTCTTCCAGGTTGGTGTCCGAAAGACCCTGCAACTGGTTAATTGGAGACATTAAAGGATATGGCGACTAACCGACAACAGTGGCGTTTTTGTTGTCAGTTCTCATCGGACCGGAACTCTTGAATACATGTGAATGCGCATTTAGATTGTGTACCCTGTGTTGACCATAAAGGTTCATTTTCTTTGCCTCCCTCCATTTAGGCCCAATCCCTCTCCATCTTGTGCTTTATCACTTGATTTGTGAGGTGAAGTTCGCTTCACTGTATCTCGCTGTACGATGATGATGATGGTTTTCGGTCATAGTCACGATTGGACAATGCCAAAATCGCCGCAATTCGACGGTAGTAGCTCCGCCGTTTCGAAACCCCATACTATACGGTTCCCAATGAGTCTAACAGAAGTGGACGGTGAGTTTCATTTAGTATGAAATTTCTCCGTCGCAACGTTCACTATGCTACGGTGTATCGGTAAGCAATCCACGGATCGAAAAGCGTAATTCATTTGCATGCATTGCGGAACTCACCCCCATAAGCAGCTATCCATTCTTTCCGACGAGTTAATAAATCGAACACAAGTTCCACATAATCCCAACCGATTAATTCACACAGCTGCATGAAGGGAAGGCATGAACATATGCACGTTGTAATAAAATCAATCAAAACAATGAAAAATAATCGGGAAATTCGACGAAAAGGAAAAGCATAACCCATAATCACATTACAGCATGGATAGTAAAATCGATCGTTGGACATCAACAAGCAAATTTGACTACACAAACAACTTTAAATAAGTTTGTTCTCATGATGTGGTGACAAATGCATTTAATTTTCAAGGGTACAATGATTTCATACTGCGGGTAAGTGGGAAAAAAATCAAAATTGCTATCTTTCGCTTTGCTCCTGTTCTGTCTTATCAATTCACGGTTATCTTGGTGTTCTATACTGTTTCCAATTGTAGATCGTGCATGCCAGTTGTTGGATAACCAAAGTGTATTCGCCTGTCCTTCAATATTGCGTAACTTGGGAGTTCAACTGGGGCATTACAAGGGATCAGTCGGTCATCCATGCGCGTGGTTTTGACGTCAACCGGGGGTCTCAAACGATGCAACCGAAAATAAAATTACCGGTTTCGTACTTTCAGTATTTGTCTCAAGAACACAGAAGCACCAAGGCACAAAAATCAATGCTCTTGCCCATCCCATTGACTCTTCAGTATAAGACTACAACATCTCATAGATTATGGAACTGTTATCACATTCGGGAGAACAGGACAAAGACGAATTCATCTCAAAGCGCGCGCGCACACACACACGAACAGCGACTGCACTGTTGATTTGGCTCTTGAACACACCAACGAATGTAATGANATGATTGTCCGAATGGGATAGTGGCTTGTTTCACAACATAAATTTCCCCAATGACGGGGCACGTGGGTTAGTGGTTACAGCAAACAGGGGCAACTTGGAAAACATGTGGTCGACAAGATCATTGCGAATGGATACGTAGAATCAAGTCCACGAAACCGCATGTGAGTTTCATGCTCGACCAGCTACATTGGACACAGTAGTTCACAATGGTTGGTCTTGGAAGGTGACTGATATGTGGGTCAAAATAATCCAGCTCAGAGCTCTAATTGATCTGGAAAGTTCGCTGTGCACACCCACAGTTGCGGAATCTAGGCCAAGCAGTTTTGCTACAATGACATATAATTCGTTAACACGATCCACCGTTTAGTTTTCTCATGCATCCACGGAACAAAAACATAAGCTGTATTATCACAGCAAAGTCACGACGCTATCAAACCAAAAAAGGGAAGTGATTGCATGACTTTATGATCTGAACTATGACACAAAACTCTTCTTTGGTCAACGAGCTCGCCCGAAATCAATGTACCGCCACTATTTACTAATTTGTCTCTGGAATTTATGTCTACGGCTCCGCTAAGAGGATGGAAAATGGTTCATACTTTCTGAAATCGATAACCTTTTAAGCAAACGAGATTACTGAACCACTACACTCCTCCAAGTGGACGTAGTTGTTAGTTACAATAAAGCCGAATATCATATTTTCAAGCACAAATGTTCCGGTGGTTCTTTTATGAAACCGGTTCAACACTCATCTGGCTCCATTTTGTACACGATCATACATGGAATCCTATTCTGTCGTCCCGAAACGATGCAAAAGGGCTTTAATATACCGCTAACAGGTGGGAGAGGTACAGAACACAACACGTAATCATCAGGAGAGTTAAATCGTCCACATCAATGGAAACAGCTTAGCTCCGGCAAGCGACCAGTTATCGACAGCTCAACATATTTAACCATCATCATCATCATTGTACAGCGAAACACAGCGAAGCGAAGTTCACTGATCGCTGTCAAGTGCTACGCGTCACCAACGAACCCCATGGGCAACATTACGCAGACTAGGGTTCAACATCATACAGTATCATTCAATTCCAATGCCCTAATCCCTTCAATCTACCCAAGAAGCAACAACATCGAATCCGTCTCTATTGTTTGGGAAACGACGAAGTCATTCGCTTCAAGCATTTTTCTCCACCCTCGATAATATCAACTGATAAAGGCGTTTTCGATGTGAGCTGCGGTGAACGCGAAATCTTATTCTTATGATATCGCATTTTGTATTTTACAAGGCCGTTCAATTGAGAGATAAACCATACGGATTACACAATAAGCTTGTGGGGTATCAGGTAAACTCAGTACTCTGTCGCTATTACAAAAGGACCGATGTCCACCTTGGTATTCGCTTAAGATAATTAACTGACATCAGTCTTGAAGTACTTCCCCAATTTTTCCGGATGGAATCCAAGGACCTTTTCAATTCGAGAACCGAGGTAAAATCCCCATTTCTATAAATGAATGGGATAATTCTTATAAAAGTTGTAATTTTGAAAACACAGCGATGTCGGTACCGGTGAAAATAAGCCAACGTTTCGGTTACCGTGGGTAACCTTTATCAAGGCGATTTTACAATCGAATGAGTCAGGAACAGTTTGCCAGCTAAACTCTCACGCGCTGTGTATGTGTATGTGTGCACCGTATCGCAATACTGCACGAACCATACCCAGAAAGATTTCTCGGAATCTCAAAATGGTGCACATGACAGAAAATGCAATGCTTATGTCGGGCTTTGGAAAAGCAACAAAGTAAATTAAAATACAATGAAACAGTGAAGCATAAAATAGGTTAGGTGCATGGGGAGGATCATGTCACTAAGATAAGGACGAACTAACATAAGGTTCTTTTTGTTGACACGCACCGCTGATGCGTCCCAAACCGGACGAAACAGCTGTCCAGTGCTCACAAACATTTCCACCGCATTTAAACGGATGTGGGTATATTTGCCTGTGATTGAAACGTTCGTGAGTAAAATGGCAATAACATTTCAAGAGATTGGTTTGCGAAACTACCACCTTCAGGAAGGAAGAGAAGCTGTGGTTTGATCCGCTTCCATTCGGATGACTTTTTCTACCTTCTTCGAGATCACACAACTTCTCACGTTCTTTCGGTATTGAACTGAGGCAGACTTCAGTCGTGCATGTTGTCCAGCCCTCTGACGGACATCGACTAGGTGATGTGGGCTAGACAGCAAAGCTGGACCCAACTCGATGACCATATAGGATGGCGCACTGTTTGTACGAGCTACAACAGAGCAAAAGGTGATCCTATATCCTCGTACATTGACGACAGCTCCATCATCAATTCTTCTTCTCATTACGAACAAAGGTTAATTCAGTGATTACGATGTAATAAAACCGACGCACTTTTCTGTACGCGGATCATGCGCCAAAAATTAAGCTGCCGGGACAGTGACTAGGGCAAAGTTAAATGGGATTTGAGTAACATCATGTAATTAAAGCATAAAGTTCAACCCATGCCATTTGCAGTACTTGCGGTCGGACTAATTACATAGTGCGAGAGGCATAGAAATTTCACATCGACCCAGTGGTAACGTCATCAAATTATCACCCGGTGGGACGAGTGTGACTCCCACCGTTTGACGTCCTCTATTCTGTGTGGCAGTCTTTTGATTAGCTGCTACCCTTTGCTTGAAAATTGGATATTTGCATACTCAATGAAAGGGAGTAATTGAAGAAAAACAATTAAGAAATAAAGTGCGATTACAAACGAGGCATGACGATTGTGCTGATAAATCGAAACAAGCGATATGTTGAATGGATGCGAATCCAACCACAGGATTTCTTTCTCAAATCGTACTTAAACTGCCATAGAAAGGCAACGGTACACACAAAAACTGACCTCATTCTGTACAACTTCGTCGGACTGATTGGAATCTAGGAGGGAGAACACCATATCGACTACTTCTTCCACCGGCATGCCGAGACCCGCTGCTTTCGAGGAAAGTGTGTTCGTTAGACGAGTCCAATCCACACATGGCTGGCCTGAAGCGGAGGGCGCGTTGTTCAAAACGGGACGGAGAGGCGCAGCGAATGCTTGTCTGAACGAGATAGAGAAACCAAAAGAAACAATAAAATCAACAACCGTTACGAACGGATCGACTGCCACAAAACCCTGACCCAGCACTACCACCATGCCTTGGTGCAAACTGGTAGCGAAAAAAAACAAATGAGAATACGACAAGATACTGAGATAACGAAACAATTACGTCAGTACAAAAAAGAACAGTGAGCACAACCCGAAGTGGTTTATTATCGTTAAACATATGCAATACGAATTCCAACCAGAGATGTCTTGTAATATTAATTTCGACGAAATAGTGATTTTTTCCCCGACAAACTCCAAACACACAACGGCTCAGATCTAGATTACTAACCCGCCCATTTCATCCCACCTGTGTCAAGCAATGTAAGCGCAAGTTTTCGTCGAAATCCTCTACTCGATGGGTGTTTTTTACCCTCCGAATTTAAGTTATCTTAATTGTAAAACAGAAATGACCGAACAATTGTTCTGGAGTGACCACCATACATCAGCTCATCTAACATCACCAAACAACGAATAAACCAACTTGACTCGGTGGGCAGAGTTGCTCTATCGACTTCTCTGGTGACTGAGAAGCACGTAAATCTTTTCAAAACCATTACACCGTATTAAGGAATAAGACCACTTCTCCATGTTCGTTTACCACCAACAGTGGTAAGAAAGACGGTTCGGATTCACCCTTCCAGTTCAATGTGACACTGAGTGAAACCATAAGGAGCACGACAGAAAACATTTTATGCTTCTGGTGTGGAAATACCACTCCTCCCCGTGTGATCGAATTCATGATTTGCTCTGCGCAGACATTGCTATAAGACGCGACTCCTTCTGAGACGCTCAACTTGTCAAACACAAGATATAAGCAGCTGGCAGTTAGAAATATGCCCTGCGTCGAAGCGAAACGTGCCTCTACTAAGTCGGTAAGTGGTTATGCCTAAACTAACATTCGTAAGCGATTAATCAATAACTGGTGACACCGTAATCTGCCTCACAAGTTGCTATAGCCCGACAGATTTGAAGAGAGAAATATCACCGCGCACTCACAAAGCCCAAATGCCATTCGCTAACGTAGGTTCTTTGTGGCGCGGCAGTGACCTCAGTTCTCTACAGAGCTGAGTTTACAACGCACAGTTTTACTCTACAATTGCCAGGGTCAGCTCATTCGCGTCAATAAAGTATCGCGATAAAATGTATCTAACCACCGTTGTCTTAGTTGTATCGACTGAATCCGATGGGAGCATAGAGTAAAAAACAGACTTACTGAAGAACGTTCGTCTCACAGTCTAAGGGTGGTGATGCTGTAGTGGTTCAAAACCCGCCACCATCCAAATTTGATCGTAGACAGCGTTGCTGTGGTAAATGTGATTGTAATGAAAAATTCTGTAGGCGTAAAGCCTACATCTCAGTCAAAAGTGTACACAGAAAAAATAACCAAAGCTAAGACCCGAAACTTTTTCAAAAACATCTACGAAATCCCGTTCTTTGTTATTCAAAATACGTGCTAAAAAGGTCATCGTAGAGTTATATTTGCGCGAAAAGGAACAGAACCAAATTAGGATCTAGCCGATGAATCGAAACGATAGGAAATCTTTGTGCAGCAGACGTGTGCAAATTTTCCACTTACGTTCAAATGTTTACGCAGAACAATTATCAATTCCTCCAGCGGGATTGAAGAAACAAGGCTAATGGCGGTAAGTCCACGTTGAAGCAGCATAAAGTATTTCAGTAAGAGACAGGAGGAAAACAATAGGTGAATAATAAAGTACAGTGAGGAAAACACTGGCAAACGAATTTGGTGATAATCGGCTGTTGAATCCAAAACCGACGAAATTTTCGGATATGGAAAGAAATTTGCCGAAGTTTAGCGACGATGTGCTGAATGTGAGAGTTTCAATGAAAATTATCATCGACAAAACCCCCCGTATTTGATGCAGCTTACTAGGGATGCTGGCTCAGAGCTAATCGATCCCGGATGAGATGTAAAAGAAGAACGTGATAACGTTGAGAGAAAGTAAAACAATGGGGGGGGGATTGAGAGAGAGAGAAAGACCGGAGGTAGCGGAAGACTGCTGAACATTATCCAAGTTGTCAAAAAGGTGTGAAAGATCAGAAGAATCGGATAAATCCTTGTATGAAACCATATTAGCGTATTTGAAGACAGAAGATAGCAAAACACCGCGAAAATAGGTAGATAATAAGTATGGGGAGAGAATTGCATCTTGTGGTACTTCGGAGTTGTTCACCAATGGTTTGGATTTCTTTCAATCGAGTCTGGAGCATTGAGTTCTCTAAGAGAAATCCTCAGTAAGCTGGGCTAATAGCTGCTTGGTTCAACACCAAACCTAACCTAGTGATGTCTTAAGTGGTTCGCCACTTCAAGTCCCGGTGCTTAGGTTGCCAGTTTTCTCAACTGAACGGCAGGTTTTCGCGACTATTGGTTTCGTCCCGTCTTCCGTTCATAAAATAAGATGTGTGCAATCAAAAATTGGATCTCTGGAAGTCACCAACAGCTTCTTCAAAAAGCAGAGGTGTATGTTACTGAATGCGTTCCCTGTCATGGATATCAAAAAGGGTGCCAATTGCCGACTAACCCTGAATAAGTTAGATCTATGGCAAATCAGTAATCGATTGCAGATGATGCTTGGTAGTGCTCGATAACGGTGTCGTCACAAAGGTCTATGTGACTGGCCTTTTAAAACCAAAATCATTAACCCCCTCGCTTCCAAGGTGAGCGATTACTTCCTGCTGCCTTGCAGTTCGCACTTGGTTGTGCAAAGGCTGAGGGTGTGCCCTCAAAATGAAAAACGCCGCTGGGGACATCTCCCGTATTAAATTCCCAAGTAACTTTACGATCATGTCTTCCACAGCGGCAACCACAGACGATCATGGAGCCGGCTTATCCTTTCCAAGGAGCCAGCTGTGGTAAAGTAAGTAAGTGCTCAACTACGAATACGTTTTGCGTATGCTCGTTTTGAACGTACAGTGCAAAACCAGAAGAAACGACCCGTCGACCTAACCATAACCTAGTGTTTGTGTGTGAAAACCTTAATGTCAGCATTGGCTGCAGACGGTGCAATCCACCCTTCAGGTTGGGGCTCAAGTTTAGTTCAGCTTGTACAACCATTAACCAAGCACTTTCGTGCATCGGTTTTGGTTGCGGTCTTTTAGCTGTCTACTTGGATGAACAAGACAAAAAAAGGAGTCGAATAGAAAATGGAGAATCTCGGTGGACTAAAGATGCAAAGAAATTGAGATGCTCGAAAGTCATTGTTTACGACAGCCATACCACCAGTGTCTTTAATCATGTGACCGAGTTTCCAGGTTAGGGTTCTCATACCTAGGTCTTAGTTTGACCAGCCTTGGCTTTATTTCACCCACTACCTGCCTCAGCAAACATCGCTCGCCATGGCAATCTATCTGGTGACATGTGTAACATGCCCCGACCAAAATAACCTACGAAGGTCGAACACTTGCTCCAGTGGGCGGTCACGGTTACCCAAAACTCTGTGCCTAACTTCAGCATTGCTCGTCTGGCTGCCCCACCATCTTCGTGCAATGCTGTGTTGACAGCGGTGATCGAACACCGACAGTCTATCATTATCTTGTTCTCTAAATGGCTAAGTTTCTGCGCCGAATAGCAGAAAAGGTTGAATTGCTGCAGCATATACTGGACTCTTCACGGACAGCTGGATGTGACGGCTGCGTCACAAATGTCTCAAGTTGGTAAATGCCAATGGAACCTTCTGCATGCGAGCTGACACTTCATCCGTGATGCGTCCACCGGGTGAGATGTAGCTGCCTAAATAACAAAACATAACCACTTGCTTTATTACTTAAATTAGAAGTCAGTGAGGCGAAAGTTGTCAGTTTGTCTACTGAGTACCAGGTCCCATAAAAGGGTAAAAGAACAAACGAAAAACGTGTGCAGGGAAACAAACGAAAAAATGTTTCTTCTAAAATATTTATGTATGTATTTCAACGATAAGTTACAGTTATACTAAAAAATGTCCTTTTTCAAATGGATGTTTGGTAATTCAGTCGTTGAAAAACGATTCACTTACAACTGTCGCGAAACGTTTTCAAGCCGTAGAAATATAGATAATGACCTGAGAGCAAATACTTTTTATTACACACATTTATGTGGTCAACAGCAGACGGGGCGAACCCCATAGTCACGAAGACCTGCTGCTCCGTCATGGAAACCGGTAACCTAAGCCCCGGGACTTGAAGTAGCGTACCAAATAAGACCCCGCTAGGTTAGGCGTGGTTTAGATGTTCCGTTGGTAGCTGGAACAGCCTAGACAACCAGCTATCACTTTTGCACGGACTTCGGTGTGACTGATGCAGTTTACTTGGATAACGAAGTTCCTCGCTATAAATATCCCTTGTATTTGTCTATCGTTAATGCTAACGCAATGCAACAAAATGCTAACGAACATAGTTTATAATCGATGATTTGTTGCTGGACAGAAACGAGTATTGGTGAAGGATCATATTGTGCAATAAACAGGAAAAAGAATCACCTTAGAGCGTCTGTATCCTTGAAATCGTTACCGGATGAAGCGGAAATTGCATCTGTGCCAGTTTTATCATTGGCCATTTCCGAACATCCAAACAAAACCTGGCCGAGTTTGTCAGCCATGAGCTGTAACTCGTCTTGAGCCACTTTCACCGAATCCCAGTCCAATGACTTCAGAGCCGCACGCCTCCGATGACCAAGCTCTCTGGAGTGTTTGACCAGGTGTGAAGACCCCAAAACGTCACGACATGAATTTTCTTCCGACTCCACAGCAACGCGACACTGACGCATAACATCCGAAAGTTCCTGGACCAATGGTTGCATCAACGGATGTGACAGCAAACTACCCAAGTTGGAAAAAACTCTGGTCCATACTTCATTAGGATTCCGAGCCCCGGTCCCTCCAACTTTTGACACGATTGCCTCTTTTTCCTTTTGAACTGCATAATGTCTGCTCAAATCGGAAATAGAGACACCACGGGAAAGTAAATCAATCACCTTTGGTCCTAACTGACCAAAGCACAACAGGGTAGCATGACTTGCGAATTCTCGTACATCACTGGAATCCCGACCCACGAGATCCAAACAACTGTCTGCATATTGTTGCACAAGCTTTTCAAGCGTTCTTTTTCGCTCCAAGTTCACTGTAGTCGGCAGCAGAGCAGAAAGTCGACCCCATAAACTCTCAGCTTTCAATGAAGAATAGTCTTCATATGATGCACCGGCCATATAAGCCCTTTTGCTTTCGATGCTACAACACGCATCAGATTCATCACAACTAGGCTGAGTCAAACTTCCAAAACGTCGCAATGCGACAGTCAGCCGAGGAAAATCGCGTTTAACTGGCCTCGCTTCATTAACTGATCGATCTATCGCGACCAACATATTGGCTGTAATTAGAAAATAACAAACAGTAATAAACGCATGACGTTATGAGAATGATACCGCTGGAAGATCTAGTTCATTTTGGAACATGAATCAAGGGTTACTAGCATAAGATAAGAACCCCATTGTCAGGAAAATGTTCGTTTTAAGGGACTGGAGGCTAGCTATTTATTACGCAAAGAGTAATGTATAGTAAAAAGCGGAACCCCCACAGTGCATGACACTGTAAGGGAAAAGGTACGTGTAGAGTAAGATTATAAGGGCTTGGAAAGATGGAGATTGGAAGTGTTCCACAGTTTCCTAGTAATAAAGGACGACTGGAAGATCGATGTTCAACATATGGTAAGGGTGACTGCCCACGTGAGAACGAGATAGATGGGAAAAGAACAAGGGAATGGGAGCCACTGAAGCTAGTACAGAAGGGCAGAAATCAAAATAGTAACGATAGGAAAGAGACAGAGAAGCAACAGTCCGGTGATGGGGAAGTGACTGCAGGTGGGAAGTTAAAGACGGTTCGTCAATCAACTGGATGGCTTTACTTTGAACACGGTCGAAAGAAAGAGCGGAATACGAAGTTGTCGCTATGTGAAGTACTATAAGTATTGGAATAATTTGAATGCATGCATTCGACCTGCAACTTTTGAGCCACGGTTCAGAAGCTGCAGTGAATATTTTCAAATATTTATCATTTTGTATGTCTTGCATGGACCAGCCAACATGAAGAGGGTTGTTTATATCCGAAGACGAAGTAACTAGATCTGTGGAATGCTTTTAGGACGGGCAGGAACTTCCTAAAAGCCGCCATTGTGCATGTGGACATCCGAGGAGCATGTGCAGCGGTTCTTCAACCGACGGTTTCACAACGGCAGTTTTATATTCTTGCCTCTTGCTTTTCCTCAAGTTTCCTGGTGGATCTGTTTATGCTGGACGTGATCGTCAAATCGCGGACCCGAAGCTCCTCCAACTAACGCCGGTGACTAGAAGCAAGAGAGACTTTCCAAACAATCCTTTGTAATTGAGGACTATCAGTACGTGGTTACATAACCATGGCATACTTATCAGATCCCACAAGGTTCAGATATCCGGTAGCAACTTGACCGTCTGATCACGCATGGTTATTACAAGAGCTAGGCGAAAGTAATTTTTATCCTCCCAAGATAAGCAGTCTTCTTCTTGATCGGTCACAATCAAGTGCACTGTCGAGTTTTTAGCATATATCACCATTATTGGGCAAGTGATTTTCCAAGGAAAGTTTCTTTATTCGATATCGCAACTTCGACACTTCAGAATTAAGCTTTGCTTCTACTATTATCGTGTTTTTAATGAGCTCGAAAAGACCGCACCAGTATAATCCCCCATGATGAACTCCGCACTGCACGCTTGTGCTGCTCTGATCAGATTTCCGCTGCGGATGCTAAAATAATAGTCTAGTTTCCCGATATTGCTGGTGTAAGAAAAGGCATGACTTCGATTGGGGATCTTTTAGGAATCATCGAAATCCAACTACATTTTCTGTAAGAGTTAATAAAATGCGGATCTCTGTCATCTTGATAGGAATCATGTGGGAACAGTAAGATGAGCATGGGTGTTGATAATGGTTCCTTTCATTGCCCTCCTACATCGGAACAGAGGCCCGAACGTTTGTATAATGTTTTTGATAAGGTCACTAATTAATATTAACTTAACTAATGGTTTTCTTATACAAGTAGAATTCGCAGCACTGTCTATATCAGTGCAGTCAGATCAGGTCAGGTCAGGTCACAGGACTTGCGGCTGATGCCAATTTGAGTCCAGGTTCTTGCACCGTGAGCGTATCGTTTGCCTACGTGCTTCGACAACAGGATCCTTTGCAAGCCGATTTTCGGGCCCGTCGGTGCCGACTTGGGCATCTTTCCCGTTCAGGTGCCACTTCGGCAGCTGATACAGTTTAATGGTGAAGGGGAATGCCTGCAGTCTAGGTATACACCTAGCTGAGCGGTTAGTGGGATGAAGCAATGCTATACCCTATCCGGTTTCCTAATTATGGGGGATTCGTATATATTCGGCAGGGTGCTAGAGAAGCCTGCGCAGATGTAAGAATAAACAACCTATGGTATTCTACGGGGAATTTAAGTACATGGTCCCACGTTGTTAGTCATATTCATCGTCGGGAAATAAACCTGACCATACCTCGTCCAGCTGGCGCTTGGAAGCCCCAAAGTTACGAGCATAAACCACTTGCTGTGGTAACCGGTTCCACGCATTATTCACCCGATTCGAAAAGAACTGGGCTCTAATACTCCTCGGTGCCCTGGGCTTTTCCAATTTGCATCCAATGCCCCTAGAGTCGTTGTTGTGGCATAGGTGCAGCAGCGGTGTTTCCGTTATCGAGGCGCCGGTCAGCTGCTTGAAGGTCTCTGAGGTCTCCTCGCATTTTCCTTCTATTGAGGGAGCACAGGGCTAACCTCCTGAGCCTCTCGCTATATGCAACGCCACTCATGCCTTCTTTGATCCTCGTGAACCTTTGTACCGCCTCCATATCATGTCAATTATAACTGGTCTGCATCTAATAAAGATTTTTACTGGGGTTAGAGTATTCTACAGCTGCGCATAACGAATAATGCAAGACCTCGGCTACCGAAAAGTCCACCGAAACAGTTCAACGGATTACATACGATCTAAGATACTCAGACGAATGGAACGAACGTGCTGCGTACAACGCAGTTAAAGATTGTCAAGGTCAGTCAGTCAGTCAGTCAGTTTGCACAGGACAGGAGATGGCCACGGCCAATC